CTCATTGAACATAAATTCAATCTCATGAAATTGATAACCCATTCCATAATACCGATCACGTTCCAATTGATTCACGACCATCATCTCAGGGGATAAATTGTATGTCATCATGAGACTTGGATATAATGACGCAAAATCCAATCCAGTAACTGGTCTTCGATTATTCAAACCTTTTATCGGTTCATATACATATGCTCCGGAGTATCTCCCCTCCTCCACGTTATCATCTCGAATCATATTGATCAAGATATTCATATCACAGGCCATCGTACCAAGCAAATTGCACTTCTTGATCCCTCCCGCATAGCAATACAAATCGAAAATCGATACATAAGATATACCAGACATCTTCTGATATGAATCAATCACATTCATCTTTAACATCAATTCCTGACAACGCCTTGCATCCACCATACAATATTGTGCAATTTCACTCATATTCTCTTTTGATTCCTCAGCTGACACATTTCCCTCCTTACAATCTCGATAATATTTTCTCAGAACTAAATGGGATAGATCCACCTTTCCTTCGAGATTTATCATCTTCAAAAAATGGGAGAGTGAATTTCTCTCCGAGTTTGGATACATCTTTCGAAATGATACCATCACATCTATCATCAACGTTCCCAATCTACGAAAATACATCACTCTGACATTATCTTGAGCTGTAATCTTAATATTATTCTCATGAATATTATAACCCGCATCACTGATCGAACTTCCTTTAAATTTCGTTCCACCCATCGTACTCACAAAATCTCTCAATATATTTAACCGCTCAGCTTTCTTGAGTACAAATGGCCAATCATATCCACCATCATTAAACCCCATCATCACATCTGGATTAATTAACTTTACGCAGTATGCAAAATCCATTATCATCTGTTCTTGAGAATACGACCTCCTAAATATCCAATTCTCACATTCATTCAAATCCTGAGTGCACAAGCAAATCTTTCGAATCGGTTCATTCTCATCATACCAATGTACCGTCATACATATCATGAATACCTCATCTTCATCATACTCTGGTTTTGGAACCTCGCCACCCTCACGTGAACTATAAGTCTCGATATCCCAACAGAGAATCATAATCCGATCCCTCCTTGGAGGATTCTGACTATTGATTATATGATCACGATGAACCTTTAACACCTTTCGATATTGATCATTACCATACACCAATTCACTCGATTCAATCATCTTCCATCGCGTTACATCAATCTTACATTCTCTCAACACCTTGCGATAGTGAAACGTAAGATCATTAGAATATGTCACATATCGATCCTTCACCATCTTCAATTGTTTCGATCGAATTCCACTATTCTTAAAATAAAAACGAACAAATTCTTTGGTGTTCTCACAAAACAAATTAATCGGTTTTGCTTGAATTATCTCATATGATTCACATTTGATCTCTGATAACATCTCATCCACATCCACTCCATTTATCAGGATATCAAAAAAGGGTTTAATTCCACACACATCAATTCGCATCCTACGACCATTTGTCAAAATTCCATGTAACCTTAACACATAATCACCGGTTTCATATAATGTTGATTCGTCAACATCAATAGGAAGAAAATGAAATTGCACACCATCATAGTCACAATCACCAATCAATAAGTTTTCACGTGTTATCATTTCCATCTTTATGCATTTTTTTTCCCACCCTGGTGAATGTATCACCGGATGAGATATCTTTATTTCAAATATATAATCAATAATTCAAAGATTAAATAACAATTTGATTTAAAATTTCATCATATCCTTCATTATCATTTACAACTTTCATATAACTCGAATACATGTTCTCCATACACAAGTCATATTGCTCATAAATTGCAATAAGATAATCATCATCATAACCCACATCCACACCACTCTCCTTTACACACTCATCAAGTTCACGAATCCTGTAACGCTCTAACATCTTATCACAAGATGGTTTCAAATATATCACCTTCGCGACATCAAATGGAAACTTAATCTTACTCAATTTATCTTCAAGAACCATCAAGACTTCTCCATCTCCATCAGGAATCATCACATTCGTAAACGGAATCGTATCAAGATGACTTCTATCAAGAATAATATAGTCATAATTTTTCAATTTTTTGATCTCTTCCATTTCCTTATAATATGCTTGGATCATCGCATATTGAAAGAAGAATGCATATTTTTCTGAATCACCCTGATATAACCTTAATTCATCCTCGAGTGTTCGCGCCACCTCCACACGTAACGTCGCATGGTATCCTTGGTTAATGAGATGATCGAGTAGATCTCGTGCAAAAGTTGTCTTCCCCACCGCGATCGCTCCTGTCACAATAATCAACTTGGTCTCCTTCGGACGAATGATGGGTATACTGAGTAACTCAACAATATCAAACGTTTTCATCTTGACAATCAAGAGTCCCAAAATACTAAATATAATAAGTAAGATAAATTGATATGTCAAATTAATCAACTTGACACATTCTTCAAACATCGAACAATATGAAATCATGACAAAGTTACGCGTATAACTCCTCAACCCGGTGCAATAGCACTGAGTGAGGTTCACTTTATTTTCTTTCAGATATTATTTAATATAATTTATTTCAACTTGACTCTCTTTGAGTCATCAGAGACCCTTTTAGAGTCATCAGAGGAATCATCATCGTCAGATTCACTACGTGCTCTCTTTTTACTATTGATGCCATCCCTATCATCATTCATCATTTTTATCTTCATACTACTTCTATTATTTATCCTAAGATTACGAATATTATATTTAATATCATTATATACCGCTCTCAGGGAATATATTAATGGGTAATCAAGCTTATCAAGCTCCTTATAATCAAACTTCTTCCACATATCATCCCCAAAACTCTCATGGACTGGTATGATATCATGAACA